AGGATATACTTTATTTTCAAGTAAATATAGATTTTTTTAAACCAAAATTGACCATATGCTGGAATATAAATCAAGACTTAACAAATCTTGAAGAACTGACGTCATGAAGAATATATTCTCTGTACACAGGAGAATTAATCTATCATTTCATAATAACAAGATGATTGGAATTTCCTCAAATGTTTGGAAATCCCCCAAATATACCTAAAATGACCCAAACAAAAATGTTGATTTAGATTAAGAAGTATTTTGAGTTGAATGATAATTAAATCATAAGACAGCAAAGCCTGTGGGATGCAGATAATCCTTATTTTTAGGAAAATATATAGCCTTAAATGAACATATCAGGGTGATACACTGTCTCCAAGAAGGCTACCATCAATTTCTTTTTTCACTGGACACACCTAAAAGCCCATATTGTGAGAAGAAAGTCTTCCATCTCCTGGAATCTCAGCTCACCTGTGCCTGCATTATCCAATAGATGTCTAAGAAGGGACGCTATGTGACTTTCAAAGCTAGGTCATTAGAAGCCTCATAGCCTCTGTTTGGATCTCTTAGAATTGTCTAAGTAATAATAACCACCATGCATTGGTAAAATGTCTCTATCCTGAGACCACCAGGCAATGAGAAATTCAAAGTTAGGCATGTGGAAATAAAAAGAGATGCCTGAGCAGTCTCTCATATGTTCCAATCGTGTGCATGCTCAGTTGTTTGAGATGTGTCCAACTCTTTGCAGTTCTGTGGACTATAGCCTGCCAGGCTCCTCTGTCCATGGGATTCTCCAGGAAACAGTACTGGAATGGGTTGCCATGCTCTCCTCCAAGGGATCCTCCTGATCCAGGGATCAAACCAGCATCTCCTGCATTGCAGGGAGTTCTTTACCACTGGGGCCACTGGGAAGCCCGTGTTCCCAGCCCTCTCAGCCCAAATCCCAGTATCGGCATGAATCAACCTGTGTGCAAGTCTAACCCAAGCTGTCACCTGACTGCTAGCATATGTGAAAACCCAAATAAGGACCAGCCAGGTGACTCTTCAATCCCCAGAAGTGTGAACGATAATAGTAAATTGCCTCTTTAAATCACTTAGTTTAAAGGTGGTTTGTTTTATACTTATAGGTAGTCAAAAATATTTTTAAAGAAGAAAAAGCCAAAACTCAGTTAAATTAATTTCGTAATCAAGAACTTAGAAGCAAAGCACTGAAAGAAATCAACACAGTCAAAAGTTTGTCCTTGGAAAATATGAAGATATTGGGTTGGCCAAATTATTCGTTCAGGTTTTTCCAACTAGATAGATAGATAGACAAAAATCTGATGAAGATGAAAAGAGAAGACACACATTATTTATTTCAAGAATAGGAAAAGGACCTTGCTACAAATTGAACAGGTGTTAAAAAGATGGTATGAGAATGTTATGAATAAATTAACAGTAGTAAATTTGAACATTTATATGAAATGGACAAATTCCTTCAAACATAATTTGTCTAATGTGTTTAAATGAAAATATTCTTATTCTTATTTATTTTAAAAGTGGAATCAATAATTAAAAGTCTACACACACATACACACATACAAAAACCCAATCCCAGGCCCAGACAGCGTTATAACTGAATTCTTCCAAACATTTAAGTAAAAAAAAAAACTTAAAATTTTTCAGATAATAGAAAAAAGTGGAAAAATTGCCTCTTTATGATACAAATACTCAAGAACTAGAATAGAAAGGAACTTTCCTAATCTGATAAAAGTAATCTATTTAAAAAAAAACCCTACAGTACACAGTATTCCTTACAGTGAAATGTTAAAATGTATCTTTATAATTTCAGAAGCCAGACAAAGATAAACACTGCTACAATTTCTCTTTATCATTCTGTGTGATCTGCTAGTTAAAGAATCAGTATTTTAAGAATTGAACAAATGGACAAAATATTTGAATAAGCACTTAAACAAGAGTTTATCCAAATGGCCAATAACATGAAAAAGGTGCTTAACCTAATTAATCATCTGGAAAATGCAAATTAAAATCACAATGTGATGCTATTGTATACTCTCCAGAAGAGCTAAAATGAGAAACAAAACAAAACAGAATATCCCAAGCACTAGAAAGGATGAGTAGCATCTGGTCTCCAACACACCACTGATGGGAGTGTAAATTAGAATCACCTCTTTAGAAGACTATTTGGCTGTACTACTAAAGCAGAATCTAACACAGCTTTTCACCCAGCAATTCCAATTCTAGATATATTATCCAACAGAAATGTATATGTAGGCCTGTCAAAGGCATGTGTGAGGATGTTCATAGAAACACTTTACAATAACCCAAAGTAAGAAAATAGGTAAATTCCCATTAACTATGAAATGGGTAAATAAAAAATATGGTATATTCATATATGTGAATGATATACAGAAATAAAAATGAACAGACTACAAGTACAGTTTCATAATCTCAAGCAGAATACTGGACAAAAGAAGATAGACTAAAAAATATGCACAGTATGATGAGTTATGTAGAACTCAGAAAGACAAAACTAACCTACAGTGTTAAAGATTAGGGTGGTTGTTATGTTCAGCTAGGCAGAACTCTCTGGATGTTAGCAATGGTTTGTTTCTTGGGGTTGCATTGCTGTATTTTATGTTTCAAGACTTATCGAACTGTTGCAGGAAGGGGGACCCCTTCCAGGGCCCAAAAGTGGGCTCTTATCTTACGCTCAGAAATGAATTGTCTGAGGAGACACATGTGCTGACAAAGCAAGAGATTTTATTGGGAAGGGGCACCCGATGGAGAGCGGTAGGGTGCTCCGCCACGTGGCTTACAGGTTTTACGGTGATGGGATTAGTTTCCGGTTGTCTTCAGCCAATCATTCTGACTCAGAGTCCTTCCTGAGTGATGTGGTGCACACACCACTCAGCCAAGATGGATACCAGCAAGAAGGATTCTGGGAGGTGGTCGGACACGTGGTGTCTCCTTTTGACCTTTTCCCGAACTCTTCCGGTTGGTGGTTCCATGTTCCATGTTCCTTACCAGGATCTCCTGTTGTGATACAACTCATGCAAATGGTTAGTAGGGACCTGGCCAGGGTGGGCGGTTTCAGTCAGTGTGCTTCCCCTAACAAAACTTAAAGACATGTTTACTTTTGTATGTGTATGGCACACTTCAATGAAAATTTACCTAAAAACTAATAAAATGTATTTCTACAGCTGCAGAGCCAGGCCTCAGGCAAATCAGTTTTATCCAGTTAAGGTGCACCAAACCCCACTCTGCATCATTTTTTTTTTAGTTATCAGTGCTCCGCAGCCTTGATTCTACCATTATGGAGACTCATCTCCCTTTTGGCATTGCTTCTACTTTGTCAGCTACTTTGGGTGGTCCTGACTTAACTCATTGCCCACCCCCGTCTCTCTCTTCCAGCCACAATTACCTCATAAAACAAATACCATTGTCAGCAAGTCATTGTACAGAAGTGGCTACTTTGAGTAGAACAGGCCACTCACTATCAAACCTACAGATAACTTGGAATGCTTATCAACTGGAAGCTGGTTGGGGTGTACATAAAATCAAGCCCTATCTGTAAGGATGCTTTCTGACCACAAGTTAAGAAGTAGGCTGTGGACATACCCAGCATATGGACACAACCACATCACACTTCTGTTTAGTCCTCCACCCCAGCTGGATTTGAGCCATTGGAAATCATGAAATTACCCTTTTACCTTCCCCTACACTGTCTAGTGCAATGCCAAAGATGTAGTGTTTCAGTTCAGTTCAGTTCAGTTCAGTTGCTCAGTCGTGTCTGATTCTTTGCGACCTCATGAGCCAGAGCACGCCAGGTCTCCCTGTCCATCACCAACTTCTGGAGCCTACCCAAACTCATGTCCATTGACAGTAATGCCATCCAACCATCTCATCCTCTGTCATCCCCTTCTTCTCCTGCTCTCAGTCTTTCCCAGCATCAGGGTCTTTTCAAATGTGTCATCTCTTTGCATCAGTTGGCCAAAGTATTGGAGTTTCAGCTTCGGCATCAGTCCTTCCAATGAACACCCAGGACTGATCTCCTTTACGATGGACTGGTTGGATCTCCTTGCAATCCAAGGGACTCACAAGAGTTTTCTCCAACACCATAGTTCAAAAGCATCAATTTTTTGGCGCTCAACTTTCTTCACAGTCCAACTCTCACATCCATACATGACCACTGGGAAAACCATACCCTTGACTAGACAGACCTTCGTTGGCAAAGTAATGTCCCTGCTTTTTAATATGCTGTCTAGGTTGATAATAACTTTCCTTCTAAGGAGTAAGCGTCTTTTAATTTCATGGCTGCAATCACCATCTCCAATGTTTCTGGAGCCCAGACAAATAAAGTCAGCCACTGTTTCCATTGTTTCCCCATCTATTTGCCATGAAGTGATGGACCCGGTTGCCATGATCTTAGTTTTCTGAATGTTGAGCTTTAAGCCAACTTTTTCACTCTCCTCTTTCACTTTCATAAAGAGGCTCCTTGGTTCTTCTTCACTTTCTGCCATAAGGGTGGTGTCATCTGCATATCTGAGGTTATTGATATTTCTCCCAGCAATCTTGATTCCAGCTTGTGCTTCAATAATTATTCATCTGAGAAGACTGCAACCAAACATTTAGTGGATAAATAAGTGACCTTGCGTTCTAACTTGCTAGTTCCTCTTCTCAATCTCATCCTGAAATGATGATTTGAATGTGAAATTTCTTGATCTGCACCATAAGCCTCCAAATTCCCTAAACTTAGACAAGCCCTTAGGACACTGTTCAAAAGTACATCAAATACCAAAGATTATGACTTGTCTTTCTCTTTACACCAAAACTGGAGTGTGTTAGCTAAAACTGGAGTGTGTTAATTAAAATAATGTATTATAATTTTATCTCATCTGAGGTCAAACAGTGATGTCCTGCTGTGATGGTGTATTTTTAGGAGAGCCACTGAAGTCTCTTTGTGTGTCTAGCTATAGGAAGCTAATTTCTGTTTGCATATTCAATTGCAGATATAAATGAATGCAGCGCTGACAATGGTGGCTGTCAGGACCAATGCTGTAATACAATTGGCAGTTATTACTGCAAGTGTCAAGCTGGCCAGAAGCTGGAGGAAGATGGCAGAGGATGTGGAGGTAACAGTTGGGACTGTCCGCTTCCTGATAAGAGAGAACATCTATGTAATGCAAAAGAGGGCGATGTCTTTGATCCAGAGCCAGTTGAAATGCCTGTGCTGAATGTTGTCAAGAGCACAGATCTTCCTCTCATGTCTAGATTACAAAATTGTAACCCTAAGAACACTTCAAGTAGCTTATTATAAGAAACATATGATTATACGCTGGTTTGGCTGTGTCATGTTCTGATTATGGAATTTCAATCATTCATTTAAATCCCTGGGTAAAGTACATATTTGTGAAAGCATTTTGTTTAATTCTAAAGTGAAAATGGTGCTTATCATAAAATACTCGTGTGTTGTTACAATGGAAGTAAAGAGATGCAAAAGCAACCACAGGACCAGTATTTTTGATATAGAATTAGCTTTTTCCCCACAAACTTCCATTTTCTGACTCCTTTTAAAATTAATTCCCTCCTTCCTTTATTTATTAATTCATCATTTTGTTCATTTGACAGTCATTGAGTTGCTGCTCTGTATCAGGCATTATTCCATGCTCTAGGGATATAAAAATTAATGAGAAATAAATTCTGCCCTGAAGGAGCTCACTGATTAGAGGCAAAGATTGAAACATAAGCCGAAAACTTTACAGAATAGTGTTTTAAGACATTATAGAATGAGGTTAAGTGCATTGGATTCAAAGAGACCTGGATTTTAGTTTCAACTCTGTCACTTACAATTTCTGTAACCTTGGGCATGCTATTTAATCTTGCTAAGACTCTTTCCTCATCTGTAAAATTTAGGATAATGGTAGCTCCTAAAACCACAAAAGTTGCTGTGGGAATTAAATAAGATAATGCATCTAAAGCACTTAGCACAGTGAGTGGCTATAGTAGGTATTCAAATGATAACTATGAATTGTACCCTAATTTATGACCACATTGTTTCCCAGATTGGGAAGGTAATTGGGACCAGAGATCACTTCCATGTCTTCTTCTCAAAAAAAAGAGATACACAAAATATAATAATCTCTTGTACCATGCTTTTTAACTGTCCTTTCTGACTTTTTCCCTATCTATTTTTACCATTTAAATGCTTGAGCATTTAATGTATTCAGCCTTTTTCTTTAGATCACATAGAAATGCATTTATTTGGTTTCCCCACTGACCTTACAAAATCAAACTCAATTTTTCCCCTGACAGTGTCAATTTCTAATGGGACATGTATGAGTAAGTTAATGGGCGAAAACAAGAGAAACAAAAGTCATCCCACTGAAGGTGTCTGAGACTGGGGCTGTGGGTTTGTTGGGACTGCCAAGACAAGACAATTTGTGGATGTGAGTAGGTTGGAGAATTTCTCAGATTCTCAGGAAGCAGTGCAGTGCACTCTCTTCTGGATCATCTCTGGCACATAGCAACAGGATGGGCTGCAAGTAGACAACCATATGTTTGAGGGTGACTACATCTGGAACTTTCTGAGACAAGTTTCATTCCAGGCATGGTCCTCTGCCTGTAAGGGTGTGCATTTACAAAGGCAAATCCTAAATTCAACCAGGTCCTCTTTCATTCAAGTGAGATCATCTTTATTTCTAATGAGGCTGCTATGATGTTTTCAGTATGGATTCAATATCAGAGAACCAGAGGGGTCAAGCACCTCATGGTGTCCAAATGATAGGTAGGCTAATGCCCACTGAAGTTAGCATGATCTGCCTGATGAGAATATTATTTTCACAACCCTGTCCACTTCCTGACAAGCAGTGAACTCTTTGTTTCTTTTTGGCTGAGTATTATTATTATCAACATGATCATTATTATGATACATTTGAAATGCCAGTAGAACAATTAGCTGTTACGTTTGGCAATTATTGTTGTTATTTTTATAACAACTATTAGTCTGGTAAGGCATGTTAAACATTATATCCACTAATTTATTTATATGCAATTATTTCTCATGTTTTAATTGGAATTAGTCACTCTTCATATACATAACATTTAGAGAAGTGATTTCCATGCTTTCATATAACTGATGTTCATTTCTGCACAGTATATAAGAGTAACGTGGGTTATTTGTGAGGATTAAGAGTTTGACACTGAATTAACACTGACTTCCTATTTACTGAGATGTCGAACTGGGGTTGATGGTGTGGGATGGAGCAACTTGCCAATAAAGAACTACCTCTCTCAGTCCCATACTTCCTAGCATCTTTTCTTATTCATTTCTTTGAATGACCATTTGATATATATAGTGATGTTAATGATTCATTATGGTGGATTTTTGAACATGCAGTGATTTCAGATTTGTTTATATACGTAATTTAATAAAAATAATAGAGGTTGTTTTGAAATTAAATCTATCCTAAAGCCATTGCAAATGGGCATTCCATTCATGTGAGGGCACTAGTGAGTCATTCATATGCATTTACTTGATGTTAACGGTAAAGGTTGGTTGGTTTCAAAGGCTATTGTGTTGAATGCTGAAGATATAAACAATCACTTAAAGAGACTTTTTCTTTGCATTTATATAAATTGTATTTAACTATTTGAATTGCTTTTTAAAATACAGATCAGAATTTTAGCAGACATTTATTGTAGCGTTAAAATACATCTAGAGTCTACCCTTTCAATGGAATTGAAGCATTTATAAATGGCTGATCTTATTCCTTAACCTTTTCTCTAAAGAGCTATAAACTTGTGGAGAAGTCTTCTGATTATCTCAGGTACATGAGTATCCCCTTCTTTCAAGCATAGCAATGAACCTAAAACACAGTTTCTAACTCATTCTGCAGGTAGATTATTATAATGTGTAAATTAAATGTACAAATAACTGCATGCCACTGAACACTGTGAGTACATATATATATATATATATATATATACATAATTTTTATATATATGAAGGACATAAATTTTTCTTCTTTAACTTGTTCATGTCGGGTAAGATATTTAAGGCTTTTCAAAAATGTGACCACCTTTGCATTTCAGGAAAAAATAGAACTGGATTTTGTCATTTTATTTGCTATTAAATCCAATTTGCTATAATTTTATCATATTTGCATCTATAACCATGAGTGAAATAGGCCAGTAGTTTGTGTTTCTCATTTGCTTTTATGGCAGTGGTTCTCAAATGGAGGAATTTTGTCCCCTAGAGACATTTGGCAATGTCTGAAGACATTGATTTCCACAACTGAGGGGAAGGAGTACTATTGGCATCTATTGGGTTGATGCCAGGATACTGCTAAATGTCTTCTTCTGTTACTCTGATTGTACATATGCTGGACCTTATTCTATCTCACATGCTGCTTTCATATACTCTATTTTCTTTTCTCTCTTTACTACATATGCTCAGTCTTATTTAGTTTCAAATATCAACAATTTAACTTTATATCTTTAGAAGTCTCATTTTTCTCAAATAAGTAAGTTCCTTTATGTTGTATGTTCAGTTTTTATACTTGTATCCTTTTGATATTTTGCACATAGCTATTCTATATCCTGTGTCTGATGCTAATTTCTATGGTCCTTGTGTGGGAATCTAAAACTATTGCTTCTTATTTCCAGGCTACAAGTTAGACTCTCTTTTCTTTCCTGCTGCCTATGCTTCCCATATAAAACTTCTCACAGAGCACTGTATTTGTTTAAACATTTAGACTATCTAGAATTACTTACAAGATCAGGACTATCTCCTAGGTAAGAGCCATGTCTTATCACTTTTTCATAACCACATCACAGGTGTCTAGTGCCTACCAGAATTCCATAAATGCTTACTGAATGAATGAATAGATGAAAGAGTACTTATCGAACCAGTCAGAAATGCATACAGACATAGTCAGTACACCTCTTATTCGTTTCCTTATGTACAACTTTTAATCATGCTGGGTTTGTCATTTAAAGTCTGACTAGTTAAACCATTTGGTTATTAGTAGGTCTGTGTAAATATTTGCTGATAACAGATCTGTTTCATTTGAAAAGGCAAATCACATTTTTACTTTTAGAGGGCAAATCAAAATCTTAGCTTGAAAATCCTGACATTTATCCATGTGAAATATCTAAATTATTGGCATGGCAATGTAACTAGTGTGACTCAGCATGGTAGTACCATGGAGTCAAGGACTTTTTCTAAATTAATGGTAACTAACATTGCTATACATTGTAATCAGTGAACTGACAAAGATAATGAATACTGAGTGGACGGTTGGGATATAGCTTTCCATTTGGCAGAAATGAATGAACCTAAAGGTATATTGTTTAATGAATTGACAGTCAAATATTTTAAAGTAATTTGATAATATTTTAGCCAACTTTTTTCTGAAAAACATTAGAAATAGTGTGAATAAACAATGTATCTCAGCAAGCTGTTATTATATATGGAACTATAGAATTTTTGACTAAAACAAGTTTTTATAGGTGGAATCCCAAGGAAATTGAATGATTTGAACACTCTCAAAATCCTAATTGATAGACAAAGTGATACTGGAAACCAAGCTTTCGTATTTCCCCTCTGTGAGACTGATAGGCAGTATGAACTGCATGCGGAGCAGATTAATCAGAACCATGGAGTCTAATTGCTACAGGAGGCCCAGAAACCCTCGGCTCATAGAGGCTACAATCTACAGAGGAAAGAAATAAAAACCTGAAGAAACTGATTTCCTCCAATTCCCAGATGGTTTACTTACAGAGCTAAGACCAAAATCAAGCTCTCCTTTTTCCAATTGCCATTCTTCCAGTTATGGTCAATAAGCATTTATTGGTTCAGCATCGTGTTGGGGGTAATCTTAAGAGTGCTAGATCAGTGCGAAATTTGGTTTCTTTCATCATAGCGTTTCAGTATCATTAAGCATCGAGATATGGCCCCTGCTGACTCAGTGGGTAAAGAATCTGCTTACAAAGCAGGAGACACTGGAAATGCAGGAGATGCAGGTTCGATCCCTGGGTTGGGAAGATCCCCTGGAGAAGAAAATGGCAACCCACTCCAGTATTCTTGTCTGGAGAGGAGCTGGCGGGCTATAGTCCAATGGGTCGCAAAGAG